CTTGGGAATAGTTTTGCGGCTACAAGTGTGCGGCTGCAGAAAGAAAAAGGCAAAGTACTATTTTGAGAGAGAATTTGAGAGAGAAATTTAGGAGTTTATGTGCAGTCCTTTTGTGCTTTTGTAGAGAGATATTGTAAGTGATTTGAGAGTTTGTTTGAGGGTTTAGATTGAGTGATTATAAACCCTAATTGTATTCTCTCCTTCTAGTAGTAGATCTCCCCCTCCTTGCCCCGTGGACGTAGGCTATTTGCTGAACCACGTAAAAATTGGTTGTCTCGTTATTTGTGTGATTTGTAATAGCTTTTTAGGATCCCTCGACAGGTCAGTCCTAGAACTGATGAGAGAAAGAGCCGATATCTCACTTTGTTGAGATATTCGCTTCATATTCTTGTTTTCTTGGTGAGACGAGAATTCTTATTGCGACCTGACTCTCTTATTGTGCTGCCGAAGTGCTGCCGAAATTTCCGCTGCGCGCAATTCTTATTGCGACCTGACTCTCTTATTGTGCTGCCGAAGTGCTGCCGAAATTTCCGCTGCGCGCAACAAATTTTACTTTAGCCATTGTGATCATTTTTAGTGTTTGGGAATAACGAGAATTTTGAGTATTTTCTTTATAAATAGAAGTGTTAATTCTTAATCCTTCTAAATAAGAGTAATAGTAAAACTCTTATTTTCAGGGGTTAACTTATTTTAATCCCTCTAGAAGGGTTTAGATTTACCCTTCTACATTTTTTGCGTTTGGCAAATTATAGAGGGCTCACTTTAACATTTGTATAGATTTTTGTATTTGACGAATCAAGAAGGGGTTAAGTCTCATTAACCTCTCACTTAACCCGTTGCTAAACGGCACCTACGATCAGTTCTAAATCAGGTATAATTTTGTTTTCCAAAAAAAAAGGGAAAAAATAGGAGCCATTAATTTTTACTCTATAACTCATGGCTTAAACTCAGATTAATATCGTCCACAGAAGATTTTAATGGAAATCCACTAAAGATTGCAAACACATTTACGGAACTATTTTTCTTACTGAAGTCATTTGGAAGCTAGCCTTATTGGACACCTAAATAATTAACTTATTAAGTAAAAATCAAAAAAATAAATCTCTAAAGAATATATATATATATATTTTGGGTTTTTCACGCTTTATTTTGAAAGTGAATGAGAAGTATATCAAAGAAGAAATTGAACGGGCAAGTTAACAAATTTGATGGTGTTAAACCAAGTCATCACCCTCATGAAATTATCACAAAAGAATAAATTAAGGGATGTTCGCCAATATATTTAAATTTAAAGTTTTGATTAAAAAAAAGGGATAAACGACTAGACTAACTAAAAGTCTCCCTTGCCCCCATATCAACCACCCAGAAAAATTATAACTTTCATAAACGACCTTACACGATTAAGAAGCACATAATAAACACCTAAATAAACTATTACATACACGTCTTCATATTACTAAAGCGTTTAACATGCACGATCTCTTTCGAAATTCGAAATATAGAAAGAATAGCGTAAAAAACAAAACTCCATACATACTTATTATTTTCATGTTTATATATGAAGCCATAAGCTCAACACGTGGAGAACTGCCATTCAACGTTGCGGCCAGAAATCAAGTATTTTACATCACATGCCAAGCCTTTCTGGAGCCATAGTGGCCATCTCAATCCAGTCAACAGATGGTTACATGCACCATGGCCCATAAAAAAATTACATTGCATGACCAGGTTCATCCGTCCCTTGACGATACTAAAAATTTGTCAGCCTTGCTCACTAATAATATGAGCTGAAGAAAGGGATAAGGATCACATATTCTAGCCTTTCGCTAGAAATGGCAAAGACAAAGATGTGGACTTAAATTTGTAGGACTCCAAGGAACTCCTCCACCCCACTAGAATTTATTTGGGGCATGTGGGTTCGAAGTCAAGTAGGTTTTTTCTTCCTGATCAAACGAGGATATCTTTTCCCTTGTCCTTGTGTGTGAGTGTGTGGTGCCCGGCCCTTTACGAAGTGTCCCAGCTGGCTTTTGTTGCAAGTTTTTATGAGAACGTAGGGAGCCCAAGAAAAGAAAAAGGAGAAACCCAAGAACCTCGATCGCCTCTAGTTGATTAATTATTGGTACACATGTTGCGCCTTGAAAAATGATCAAGGTTCATGTTTCACACATGCATGAGCTTTTGCGTTGTTTAGAGATATAACGAGCGTGCTTAGGATTTAATACTCACTGTATAATTTCCAAGAACTTGGAATAGTACAAGGAGATATTTTAGAATAGTACTAGAAATTTGGTTTTACATGCGAAATTGGGAAAGCGAAGGGTGGGGGCTTGGTCCTCTAGCTAACCGCTCCTCTTTTGTTTCTTTGTGTATGTGTGTGTATATATATATATATAGCCCTCTACTCTAACTTCAAGTCTCTTTGACCTAATATATATAAAAGATAGAATTGAGGATTTACATAACCTTGCTATGAGCCCTCTACTCTAACTTCAAGTCTCTTTGACCTAATATATATAAAAGATAGAATTGAGGATTTACATAACCTTGCTATGAGCCCTCTACTCTAACTTCAAGTCTCTTTGACCTAATATATATAAAAGATAGAATTGAGGATTTACATAACCTTGCTATGAGCCCTCTACTCTAACTTCAAGTCTCTTTGACCTAATATATATAAAAGATAGAATTGAGGATTTACATAACCTTGCTATGAGCCCTCTACTCTAACTTCAAGTCTCTTTGACCTAATATATATAAAAGATAGAATTGAGGATTTACATAACCTTGCTATGAGCCCTCTACTCTAACTTCAAGTCTCTTTGACCTAATATATATAAAAGATAGAATTGAGGATTTACATAACCTTGCTATGAGCCCTCTACTCTAACTTCAAGTCTCTTTGACCTAATATTTCAAAGTGTCTCATAATTATCCACCTCCAAATATGTAGGAAAAACCTCCATATAATTAACCTAGTTTCTTTAATAATAAAATTGTTACTTTCATGCAACTTGCTACAAGGCTCGCCATTTAATTGCTTTTTTTATAAGGCAAGTTACTGGATGTTTAAGCATAAGACCTAGTCAAAAAAGCTTTTAGCACGCATAAATTGTTACTGAGATGCCATAAAAGATAATATAATAATTTTCATTATTAAGACTTCCAATATGTTTGGATTATTATCAAGGTACTTCCTCCTCTGTATTACTAGATAATGTTATTTTCTTTATTTTGGGGGGTGTGGATGATGACCTTGAATCGTACGTGTGGCGGCCGATATACTTCAAATTTTTAGTGTTATCACTAACTTTTTCGACGTGGGACCCATCCACGAAGTTTGCCAAGTCATCGTCATCGTAGTCGTCATAGCCATCGCCAGATCATGCACACAAACAAGAAATATAGCCATCTTCCTCGCCAGAATTGGACTAGAATCAAATCGATGGACAACAACCCCATAGGTTGCTTTAAATAGAATATATTGTGGAGATGAGGATGAAGGTAATACCTTCACCTCGCATTTGCATGCAAGTCACGATTTTGGTGATGGCACAACTTCCCTATTTAGACTTTGTAAGCTTGTACGAGTCTCTATTGAGTATTGATGCTAATGACAAGCACTAATCCAACTTTATTTTCGAGATTAATTACCCTTACACTCGTCTAATGATCACGACTACTAGGGTATGGACCACACTTAGCTAGGATGCGCCTTTATATATTATGGTCTTGAAAGCATCTTGGTTGGTGTGATGGAGCAATTAGGATTACCACTAACACACTAATTATTGAAAAGATAACCACGTTTAACTGTTTAAGATAGGGTTAGGGGGGGGAATTTTGTTTGGTGGGCGATTATGACTTTTTGCAACGTCTCCGTGCGCTTAGCTTGATCCCCTGCGCCATGCACAACATCAAACACCAAAAAAGTGACATAATTGTGCGCCTGTTGTATTTTGATTGGAAGATTTCAGTGTTGGTACACAATGAAGAACGTCTACTTGGCATCACTCGTGCATGAAGTGGGAACTGGACGCGTGTCTTTCTTTGACCATGTCACGACTTTTCTTGGAGACCAATTAGACGTGGTTATCTCCCCAGTGCACACCTAGCCTAACTCGCGTGCTGGAATAAACTTTAAAAATGGCGTCTTTTAGATTGCGTACCTTAGATCTTTAATATTCTGAAGTTAGTCCCTCAAATCATTCAAATTGTTATTTAATCCCCCAAATCTTATTTACTCAATAACAATTTAGTCACTCCATTGGTTATTTAATCTGAATTTCCAAATCAGGCTAGGTTAATTGTACAACAATGAATTATATTTTTACCATCAAGTAGTCGTTCGACTCGTTCCATCCTAAAATCCCAAATTGTTTAAACAAACAGGTTCAAAGAAACATGCTTAAACAAGTCCGGGGTTTAAACGATCGATGCATGATGACAATTTAAGTTAAATGAAACCAGACAGTAGCTTACTATAGGTACAAGCTACATTGAAATCTTCCGCATTTCTGGGGCTAAATAGCAATTTTAATGATTTGTGGAATAATTTCAAAACATTTAAAATTAAAGCACCAAAAAGATAATTAAACTAGCCGAAAAAGAATGGATATAATAAAGTGACGTGGACTAAGAAAGTCTTTACTGAGACAACTAACTCGCTTGTCCTCTTTGAAACGAGTCATAACAAAGGCGCACGAATCAGTGTGCATCCACGCTCAATGGAGTGGTCAGCCCAAACTCTGATGACCACGTGTAAGATTGAGATAAGCCTAGCTCGAAGCTCGATGTCCATATCATTGGGCACCTTCATAACACGACACGTGTCCCAAACAACCTCCGAGATAACGTCATCTCACTGCCGTCATCTCCTAATCCTCCCTCTAACTACCCCCAACAAACTCATTAATTACGCCCATATCCCCAAACCGATTCTCCCTAGCCGACAAAAACCTCCCACCATAAAACCGCCCCCCTACATCCTATCTCCAAAATTTCAAAAACCCTTCTCCTCCTTTCCCCTCTCTTCCTCCAAAACAAACATAGATTCCCCTCTTGTAAAAAAAAAAAAAAAAAAAACTCCTTCGAAATTATAACATTAATCCTATGTCGACAAATCCTACCACCTCACTCCCACCGGGGTTTCGATTCCACCCTACCGACGAGGAGCTCATTTTACACTACCTAAGGAACAGGGCGGCATCAACACCCTGCCCGGTCTCCATCATCGCAGAAGTCGATATCTACAAGTTCGATCCATGGGACCTTCCGGGTTAGTTTTCATTACATGCCTTGCAGTACCAGCTGTTGCTACACAAAAGTAGAAGGCCTTACGCAGATTTCTAGTTTATTCTGAGAAAAACTATACTGATGTGCACATGTTTCATGTTTTTCCCCCCAGCTCAAGCGATGTTCGGAGACAAAGAGTGGTACTTCTTCAGCCCGAGGGACCGGAAGTACCCTAACGGAGTCCGGCCAAACCGGGCGGCGGCTTCCGGGTATTGGAAGGCAACCGGAACCGATAAGCCGATCCATGCGGGGAATGAGAACATCGGAGTGAAGAAGGCCTTGGTGTTTTACAAAGGGAGGCCGCCAAAGGGACTCAAGACCAATTGGATCATGCATGAGTACAGGCTGGCTGAGGCCGGGAACACTAACAGCTATAAGCCTTTGAAGCTCAGGGATCATTCTATGAGGGTAAGATCTTGATTAGTTTTCTTGATTTGTTTTGGTAAATGGCCGAGCTGTCCTTTAGGGGGGGTAAGGGCTGCTGATATCATGCATGAGGGTGTTTCAGATGTTGACAGTTCGTGGTTTCTTGTTTTATTCAATTATTTCCCTTTTCTTTCTCTTCGTTTCTCTTACTGTTTCGAGAAGAAAGAGATGTTAATTGCAAGGAATCAATGCCTTGTGATTTGAGTGGATTTAGATGTCTACTTTAAGTCCAATAAGCTTTGTTTTGTTCTTTTCTCCCAAATATATTTTAAGCAAGTTGCACTCAAGTCCAAGTCATGATGTTTCCACTCTTGAATAACATATGAAATTGACCTGTGATAGTTCCTCCCGATTAAATTGTTTCATATCTAATTAAGCTTTATCTTTGCAGCTTGATGACTGGGTTCTCTGCAGAATCTATAAAAAGTGCAACAATCTCTCATCAGTCCCTCCCTTAATGGATCAAGAACAAGAAGACTCAGGCACTGAGGACCCCTACATATCAACAATAAACAACATGGCACAGGAACAAAACATTCTCAAGCTCCCAAAATCAGCATCAATCTCCGATCTCCTCGAAGATTACCCTGCACTCTCTCATTTATTCGATACCCAGCCCGAGTTGCCGGACTTCAATTCCCTGCTCGCATATCCCACATCGAACCAAATGTTCCTCAATGGCAGCAACAGCGCCAACGGCGATGGGAGTAATTATTTAATCCCACATCAGTCAGAGGATCAGAATAGTTCTTCGAAGCGCCAGAGGACCGCTGAGGGTTACTCGAATCAGTTTGATCTTACTCAGTACAGCTTCTTGAACCCGCAATTGCTGCTGAATCCACAGTTTGGATTGCACTGAGGGTTTAACCATTGATGATATCAAGAAGATGAAGAGAGCCTCAAAGAAAGAGTGCAACTTGTTTGACTTTTTTAAAAAAGCTCTTTTTGTACAGATAGAAAGTTTGTGGGGTTTGTAATCAATTGGTGGTGTCCGAATTAAGAACACCAAGATAGATAGGAATTCAAAGGGGGTTGGTTGTAGACATTAATTATTATGCTTGTTTGAGATATACATGCAAGACATTTTCAAATTATCTGATCTAGTTTAATGAAAAAAATAAAAAAAAGTTGGGCTTGATATTGAATTTTATTGTCTCATTATGCATACTGTTATTATCAATGGTGTGGGGGCTAGTGCATTTGTCCAGAGGTGATAATGTAGACTTCAAGGTGCCACATGAATATGGTACTAGAATGAAGGAGGGCAATCCTTATCTTATACAAACTAATAATTGGTCACACATTGGAAACCTTTGAGAGCTATTGATTGGTTCATATCCCCCTTAGAGAAATGAGAAGATACTATTTGGCCACCAAGGTGATTCTAGAGAGAGATGGGAATATACCATTGGGTCCTATATATAAATTTAATAGTCTCTATCCTTTGGCCTACGTTTGAAATTACTTTAGCTAAGCACGGTATATATAATTAGGGGCCCTAGATTAAGAATCACAAATAAAATATAGAGATAATTGGAGGCAGACCCTTGTCCTATCAACCAAATGCAGATAGACCCTGTGAAAACGACGAAGGAATTGAGGAAAAGAATTGAGAAAAACATGAAAAATAAGTAAGACAGACCACCACACCCTGGTGTGGTGTCTGTCATATCCAGGTGGCAGGGTGTGGCAGAGTCTGCCCTGATTGCCATGGGTGTAGTGTCTGTCACACCCTGGTGTGACAGAATCTGCCCTGTTTGTCATGGATATGGTGTGTGCCACATCAGGGTGTGACAGACTCGTTTTAGATTCCTAATCTATTTGGAATTATGTTTTGTTATAAATAGAGCCACGTTTTTAGGGTTTTCTATGAATTGATTGGGTAGCTTGAAGGTGATTTTGAGCACAGAAAAAAGAGATCTTTCTGAGCAATTTGTTTGAGGGTTTAGTTTGAGAGATTTGAGAGATTTGTTTGAGAGGTTAGTTGAGTGATCTTGTAATCCCTACTTTGTAATCTCTTTCTCTATAGTGGAAACCCATCCCTTCTTGCCCCGTGGACGTAGGCAATTTGCCGAACCACGTTAAACTTTTGTGTTTGAGTTGGTGTCGTTATTTTTGGATTGTTTTGGCTCTCTCTTCCGGCGTTTGTGTTTGTTCCGCCACGCACAACAAGTGGTATTAGAGCTCAGGTTACGCTTGGACTATTTAGAGGAGTAGATCACTTTTAAAGTTCGGTTAGGGCTTTGTTTGAAGTTAAAGGTGGGATCTTTTTGGTAGAAATTCTATATTTTCTCAGTTTTGGATCTATTCTTCGTTTGTTCCGCTTTGATTATTGGTGCTTTGAGGAATTATGGCCAAGAAAGAAGGAGTTGTGGAGGGTACTTCAGGTGTGAAGACCGTCTAAAGTTTGAATATTCACTCTATGAAGATAGACGTGGAGAAGTTTAATGGCACTAACAATTTTAGACTTTGGCGATGTGAAGTCTTGGATGCGCTCAACGCGTAAAATTTAGAAGATACTTTGGAATTGGATGGCAAGCCAGATGATATTGATGAGAGGGTTTAAAAGAAGATGAATCGAACGACGTGTGGTGTGATTATGTCTTGTTTAACTCAAGATTTAAAGTATGATGTGATCAATGAGACTTCAGCTAAGAAGATTTGGGAGATCCTTGAGAGTATGTGATCAATGAGACTTCAGCTAAGAAGATTTGGGAGATCCTTGAGAGTAAGTATTTGACCAAGAGTGTGGAGAATCGCTTGCATTTAAGAAGATTTGGGAGATCCTTGAGAGTAAGTATTTGACCAAGAGTGTGGAGAATCGCTTGCATTTGAAGATGAGACTTTATCGCTTCCAATTAAAGAAAGGAACCTCCATTGATCATCACATGAACCACTACACGAAACTTCTTGCGGATTTGGCAAATGTAGATACTATGATTGAAGATGAGGACAAGGCATTATTGTTGTTGAGTTCCTTGCCTAACGAGGAATATGAAACTTTCGTCCTTACTCTTATCAATAAGAAGGCATCTCTTTCGTATAGTAAGGTCACCATTGCACTTGTGAACTATCAGCTTCGAAAGAAAGATAAGGAGTCTATAAGTGACATAGTAGCGGAGGTGTTGGTCACAAGAGGGAAGAATCCAAACCGAAAGATTAGAAGTCACGGTCTAGAGTAGGACATCCTACAGTTAGAAAAGATCAGTGTGCTTGGTACAAGAAGACTGGTCATTAGAAGAAAGATTGTCTAAGCTCGACGAATGGATGAAGAATAAGCAGAAGGGAAAAAGGAAGCAATCATAATCAGAAGCAAACATCGTTATATCGGATGATAATATTTTTGATACTTCTATTTATTCGCTTTCTATCAGTCCTATAGGTAGCTATTCGGAGGAATTTGAGTGGATGTTGGATAGTGGTACTACCTATCATGTGTGTCCTAAAAAGAAATGGTTCTCCAGTTTTGAGAAGCTGGATAGTGGTGTGGTATACACAGGTGACAATCGTGCATGCCAGATCCTTGGGATAGGAAGAATTCGTATCAAGATGTTTGACGGGATAGTTAGAGAGTTATATGGTGTGAGATATATTCCTTCCTTGAGGAAGAACTTAATCTCAATTGGAGCTTTAGTTGGAGAGGGTTTGAAGGTTCGTGTTGAGGACATGGTTCTCGAGATCGTGGAAGACTCTTTGATTATGATGAAGGGCGTCAGGAGGAATAACATGTACTATACGATTGGAAGTTCGGTGACAGGTAGAAAGCTGACGACTTCTGTTGATTTGACTAGACAGTGGCATTTGGAGCTTAGTCATTCTAGTATTGATTTAGAGATGGGTATACAGACCTGCAATTTGAAGTTCAGTGAACACTTTGATGTGAGCAAAAAGACCAAGGTAAAGTTTGGCACCTCTATTCACCGCACTAAGGGTCTTTTAGGTGGAGTTCACACGGATGTTTGGGGCCTTCCAATAAGGCATCATTGGGAGATAATAAATATTTGGTTTCCTTTATTGGTGGCTGTTCTAGACGTGTTTAGGTTACAACCAAATCCCCATTAGATAAAAGTCCTAATAGTCTCCAACAGATTGAAGAAGTGTGAGATTGACAGAAAGGTGAATGTACTTCATTCTGATTTTGGTGGGAGGTACAAGAGGGACCTATTTTTTACATTCGAGCCGAGCTCATGACATTTTGAGACACTTCGGTGGAAAGAAAATCTTAGGATAACAAGATGAGATAACAGATTTGGTGAGCTATTCCTTACTGGAGGAGGACCGACGTTTGATGTCAAGCATTGATTCTGGTGTTGAGGCTTTGACATATATGGATTATCTTGGTCATAGGTTGTCGACTGCTGCGATTGGAGGTAAAAATCCATTGGATGTTTGGTCTGGTAGTGTTACTTCGCTTGAGGCTTCGATGAGAGAGCTAATTGACTCTCAGCAGGTAGAGAGTTTTGGACAAACTTTAGATGTATCACAGCGGATGGAGAGTGATGCTACTCCATATTGAGTAGAGATTACTCTACATACTCCAGATCATTCTGCATCATTTGGGATTCCAGCTGAGGTGACACAGTTAGGGGATCATTTGGATTTGGGTGCAGATGATGAGTTGGTTGATTCGAATACAGCTGGTGGATATAATTTGGATATGACCATTGGTTCATCTCAGGTGGAGGTGTTTGAGTTGTTTCACTTTGGGGCCATTAAGAGCGTCATTAGTTGCAGATCCGTTGGTGATGTTGGTGAAAAGTTGAAAACTTTTCTATTTGATTGAGGGTCTTTGGAGGCCATTTGATGAACTACGGGTGACTTGATCCCTTAGGAGAGGGGGTACGTAGGCAGTCAATTTGATGTAGCCGGTTTGGTGAGTTGATACCAACATTTAAAGAGTGTTCGCATTCTCGTTTGGGTCTCGACTTGTTGTGGATTGAGTTCATTGTCGTGGTTTTGTTCCACTTCGTACTGGACGTAACAAGTGAGACGTTTGATTTGGTTGATGTCGGCTCAGTTTTTGAAAAAACTTCGTCGAGGTGGAGATTTGTGAAAACGACGAAGGAATTGAGGAAAAGAATTGAGAAAAACGTAAAAAATAAATAAGACAGACTTCACCACACCCTGGTGTGGTGTCTGCCATACCCAGGTAGCAGGGTGTGGCAGAATCTACCCTGATTGTTATGGGTGTGGTGTCTGCCACACCCTGGTGTGGCAGAATCTATCCTATTTGTCATGGGTGTGGTGTGTGCCACATCGTGGTGTGACAGACTTGTTTTTAGAATCCAAATCTGTTTGAGATTGTGTTTTGTTATAAATAGAGCCACGTTTTTTAGGGTTTTCTATAGATTGATTGGGTAGTTTGAAGGTGATTTTGAGGACAGAAAAGAGAGATCTTTCTGAGCAATTTGTTTGAGGGTTTAGTTCGAGAGATTTGTTTGAGAGGTTAGTTGAGTGATCTTGTAATCTCTACTTTGTACTCTCTTTCTCTATAGTGGAAACCCATTCCTTCTTACCTCGTGGACGTAGGCAATTTGCCGAACCACGTTAAACTTTTGTGTTTGAGTTGGTGCCGTTATTTTTGGATTGTTTTGGCTCTCTCTCCCGACGTTTGTGTTTGTTCCGCCGTGCACAACAGACCCTTTGTAGTTCTATTGTTGCATAAGACCCTCAGAGTGGAAACATTTTGACTCTTTTCCTCATAGAAAGAGAAAATAGTTTTCTTCAACAAATAGACCTCCTAGGTAAAAGAGTAATTTAAAAAAAAAATCACATAGTGGTCTATCTGCAATAGGGCATAGTACGAGTGGTGTCTCTCCAATAAAATGCTTCTTCATTTCTATATGAATCAGATTACTTCAGTAAAGTAAGGCTTTCATTATCTTCTAATATATAATTAATGTTAATACTTGTTAGATTACTGACTGAGATAGATATCAAATACCACCATCTAAGCCCCTTGTTTTTTAGCACTAGTTGAGTAAATGGCCGTAAGCAACAAGTTATATCAAAAATGTATAGATGAGCCAGGCCTTGCTAAATGTAGACCTGATGGGAACTAAAGATAATGCTTAGTTGATAATTAACTCTCAAGTGTACCTTGACCTTAAGCATAGTTTTCACATTGAATTAGGCTATATGATAT